AACGCGTGTGTGAGGAGAACATTTTGATAGGTGGAGCTCGACAGGCCAGGAAGGCAGTCCATCTAGGGGAAGAAAAATCCCGATTTTAAACCTCTGCTGCCTTGCGGTCACATCCAAACATGGAAAAGGCTAGTAAATCCAGACAGAAAACCTAGAGTGGAACTCCCAAGACAGTTGGTTGTCAACAAAGATACAACTTTCCGGCAACTCCTGCAGCTAAGCCGATCCCAAATGTAATGCTCTATATTTCTATGGATCTTGTTGGTATGGCTGGGGTAGGGGCAAGTAGCCGGGACAGTACACAGCCTCCGTATACCATCGCACAGGACTGCGCACTGAAGAGGTCGCTGCAGTTTTACCGCCAAAAGAAAGTACTGGATTTTGATCAAACAGGGCGCTACACTTTTATCTCGCGAGATAAACGGGTGCATACTACCGCTTACTAAGGAGTCATACGTTTGAGAGGCTCTTGCAAGATAATTGTACGTCCATAAAAAATACTATTCAACACAAGAAAATCAAATTTTGATTAGTATTTCTTAGAGAACGAAACATTAAGACGTCTTTATCTTAATTGGGTCTCATTTAGTGGGTCTTTTGTTAATTTGAGAAGAGAGCTCAAGAAATAGTGAAGGGAAGTTTGGGAAGCAATGGCAAGGAACCTGACTGACTAAAAAGCACTAGAAGCGTAAAGAGAAGAGTGGAAAGATGAGAAGAAGAAAGGATAAAATAATAAAAAGAAATGAGAGAGGACAGAGAGGGAACTCGTGTACAGGAAAGAATATGAGAGAGAGAGAGAGAGAGAAAGAGAGAGAGAGAGAGAGAGAAAGAGAGAGGAAAGAGATTGATAAAAATAGTAAAAGACCCGAAGATGTGCACGTGTGAGTAATTGAGTGATAGAAAACTTCGTGTACGACCTTTGACCCACCTCTTATTCAAGGGAACCCGGTCAGTAGGAGAAACGTTTGAAAATGTTTGAATTAAAGAACTTCTCTAATTACAACCCCATATCAGAAAAGTACTCGCTTTAGAGCTAACTCTTTGATTCGGCCATCTTATGTAGGAAGCACTTAGAACTCAAGTTTAGAAATGGCCGTGAGCCTCCCAAAGTCAGACTGGTAAGAAGTGGCGAAGATAGATAGATAGATAGAGAGAGAGAGAGAGAATGAGAGAGAGAGAGAGATAGAGAGAGAGAGAGAGTACACTCAACTTATGAACGAATGTGTGGGAGTTATACACATCGAGAGGGGGCTGCGTGAGGTGGCATATATGGCAAAGAGGAACACACACACACACACACACGATTTCTTTTATAAGTAACTGGACTCAAATTTGACGAAATCTTAAGGAACTTCACTGCTGACGTCAGTATGACTTTTGCAAAGAAAAAAAAAACAGAGAAAAAGCAAAGAAACAAAAGCAAACAAAATAAAACAAAACAAGAACAACATCTGTCTATATTTATGAGATGAAGTATTGTAACTATTTACTGTTGTCCTCGTCTTTACTGTCAAATTCACGACGTTTCGACCGTTGTACGCTCCGGCCTTCTTCAGGGAAATGAAGGTCAATCGCAGCCAGGATCTAAATTTTACAATCCTTTCATTAGAAGCATAATAATAATAAGGTTACATACGCATAAGCATAATAATAATAACAAGGCTACATACGCTTTTTTGAAGTTTCTCCTAGACTGGTTATCAACAAAGGCTAACAAGGCCTATACGCTCTACTAATTAACACGTAATGAAAAGTGTATATATGGATTTATGTCTTTTCTAAAGGTATTCTCATGGGAATCTAAAGAACTCGACTAAAATAGTTAAATACATTATTCTGTTTTCAAGAATTCTACCAATTCCACTTGTTCTGTGCCATTTAGCATTTATCAAAGCCAAGTATAAAAAAAAAGCAACGATATTTCTTCAGATACAAAACTTAAACATGGATATTTATGTCTATGGTGATTGATTGACGGATTTGTTTTTTTTTACGGTTTATCAACTTTTTGCAGGCTATTTAAAGCCTTCAAAATAGTTTTAGATTGTAAGAAGTTTTTTGAGATAATAATGATTTACCAATACAAGTCCTATTAATTAACCTATAGCTGGGGAGAGGAGAGGTGGATTCATACCTTTTCCCAAGGGTATTTGTGCGTATATGACTATAACGGCTGGAATTGGAAGTCAGCACTCCAATTTCCAATTCGAGCTATATATATATATATATATATATATATATATATATATATATATATATCAGTAACTATTTTCATAGCGTTATCAGAGAAACCATGAACAAATGAATATGAACTCTATTGAACAATCAGCTTGAACGATATAAACTTGTTAGGTTTCTAATGACTAAAGTACGTTGTTGAATTAGCCCAGAAATATAGCAAGGGCAGTGTGATCTGGCTCAAGTTATGCGAGCAAGGAATGTTATTTTTACGATAAGAATGCTATCAGAGCGAGTAAATGCAGAAAAACCTATACCTATGTTTCGCAAATAAAACAAAGATAAGCACGACACGATTTAAATGCTACAAAAACCTGATTTACACGGTAAAGATATTCGAGTAATCAGCAACCACTACTGGGAACAAATAGCCTGCACGCAGATAGAGAACATGTTCAGTGAACATACAGAAATAGAAAGAGGATTATGGAAAAATATTTGAGGAGATGGAGAAATGATGGATCAAAAGGAATTGGGGAAAGGGAGGTAAAGAGAATGTTTCTTTCACAATCACAGAGGATATATATATATATATATATATATATATATATATATATATATATATATATATAAACTTTAGTTACTCCCATCTATATTTTTCTTCGTTTTCTGCTGATTTTATAGTGGCTTGGTAAAGTATATTGTTTGGCAATCAATTGCCATTTAAGGGACATTCGTTCTTTGCTCTGCAGTTAAAAATTGGGTTTGATTTGCGCAGGTTGTTGGTTATTTTTTTTCTGTTGAGATTTTTTATAATTTGTGTAATGTTCTCGGTAAAACTGTAACTGATTTTTAATGAGTTTCTGTTGAATATCTTGTGGTGAGGGAAGTGTTTGTGTAGGAGTTTATTTAAATTTTTTCCTACGTTTATTTTTCCGTTTTTGTTGTAGGGTGGGTTAAACCCGATGGTGTTTGTTTTCCTAAACGTTTTTCCTTGAACTACATAATCTAAGATTAAACGTGCAAATGGTTTTTGAAAAGAAAACATAAGAAAATAACGACAACACAGATATGAAGCACGTTATATTTGCTAGAAGCTATAACTACAGAATCTGAAAGAACTTTAGCTAATCTTAATCCAAAAATTATCGCGGACAGCGATGAGAACTTTAAGTAAATTAAACAAAGCACTAGGAATTTAATGAAATATTCCCGACGACAATTTTAACTTGAAAAAATGGTTGTTTTTGGTAAAAGTGAACATACACAGGCACGCACACACGTGCATTCTATATGTAGGTTGGCTTATGCCATCTTGATTAAGATAGAAATGTAACCGGGATATGACTCTGCTTAAACGTTTGATTGCATAAAATTTTAGGATGGTAATTTGGAGGGACTACTAATTGGATAATATTTAATAAAATACTCGGGAGAATAGGTTGCTTCCACTATTTTATAGAAATTACTGATAGATTCTTAAATCTCCATCTGACGTAAAGGGAAGAGCTTGATTTTGCAGTAAATAATACATACATTTCATTCAACTGTTTATTTTATATTCAATAAACCTGTTGTTAGAGATATCAACAGTGTTGTGCAATTTTTGAAGGAATACTTATCCCAGCTCCGATTCCCAACGACGTCCCTGGACGCAAAGAGACAAAAATTATTACATGCGTAAGTTAATAATAATAATAATAATAATAATAATAATAATAATAATAATTCCTTCTTAACTACGGTACACAATGTACAACGAGTGGTCCACACCAGACTTCGCCGTCAATCCAAATATCGTAAGATTTTGGGAAACCAGACTCAACCCTATCCAAACGACACATCGGTCCCAACCGAGAGGGAAAAGACAACCAGATGACCCATAAGGTCGGCATTAATCAGCAAAGCTATCGGAGTTAGCGATCGTGAAAGAATAGTGTGAACAGAACGCGCGAATAAAGAGTGTGAGTTACGGGAGCTCCCCACTCTACTATATGTAAATTTTCATTAAGTAGAATTCGTACAAAATTAAAATTATATTGAAACCTGTGGAAAGAGGGCCTAGAAAATTTGATACTCACAGGACAGGTTGAAGACAAAGAGGGACAGAGGAAAGTAGCGAATAACCCCTACGTAACGCGCTTTTCTAAATGGATGGCAGAACAGGGATTAGAATAGATAGCAAAAATATATTACAGAAATAGGCATATTATCTAATAGTATCTTCCAGCGAAAGGTCAAGGCAGAAAATATATATAAATGCTTAACTACCCCAAAAGAAACCATCTATGATGACTGTGCACTATCTAACTATGCATGTGCATTAAATTGAAGAAAGTCTTTTAATTCATCACAGTTACTCTTGACTGAGCATCTTTGTGCTTGCCTAAGAAAATTTTTCATTTGAAAATTATTTAGAATAATTTGCTCAAGAAATGATGGAATGTACATTATTAACATAATAAAGAAAAAAATTCGCCATTTTAAAAGCTTCCTCAAAGAAAAAATGACCAAAGGTGATTTTATCTAACTTTGTACTTCAATCAGGGATGGTTTGTGTCAGTTTCTGAGGCCAGCAAAAAAAAACAAAAAAACAAAAACAAAAAACAAAGAAAAAACAGAAAATAAAAAAAATAATATAAATGGGATTATTATGAGTAACGCAAAATAAAAAAGACAAGATCGCTAGTTATTCTTTTCTTTTTTTTGTCACTTCCATTGTAGAATAAAACAAAACCCGTAACAATTAACTCACTTTGTTCAACTGAAACAAATCATTGTAACAAATGATGATGTTAAGCACAAATTTACCAGTAGAAATCTGCGGTGTAATCACACTGAAAACACCGGGTCTCGTTCGAACACTGAAGTTAAACGCCATTGAGCCCTATCACTACTTACGTGGGGGACTACTTCTGAACAACAGGTACAGTAATCCTACAATCTGAAATATATTTCGGCTTGAAATAACCTATAAAGGGCTGATAAGCTGAAATACACACACACACACACACACACACACACACACACACACATATATATATATATATATATAGGGAAGAGGTTATAGCTATTCTAACGAGTGAAAAGCGTATATTTTAAAAAGAAGATAAACCACAAACGTTTTTGGTTGAAATATGTATCTTTTTTTATTTCAAAATCTATATTATCTATGTTCCATAATTCTGCTACACGGGTTTCTGGTTTCGCGACCTTCTTCAAGCAAAGAGTAGATATTTCCAAATATTATAAAAATGATTTTTTTGCGTGGTAGTGATTCAAATGTCTTTCTTGGACTGGTGATAAGAGTTTATATATATATATATATATATATATATATATATATATATATATATATATATATATATATATATATATAAATTCATATAATTCTCTTGTTAATATTTCGTTCTTTCGCGTGGTACGACGTCATAGAACTGTATAATGAATTTAGGATTTGCGTCTGATATTTTGCGACCATTATCGTCGCATAGCAATCTTCTATGTCCGCATAACAGAATTGACTATTGTTTTTGGTCATTATGTGTGCATGCTCTGTTTTTTGTGTGTGGGGTTTGACTTGTAGGTAAGAAAAAATGTATGTTTGGTATATTGAAATTATTTTAAATTTACCTTGATTACATTTGTAGATGTGTTGTGATGCAAAGAGTTTTCGGTTGTCAGGTAATTTGATGTCGCTTTTGTGAAGGGAAACTATTGTTTAATGCATGGCTGATACCTATATATGCATTTTGTGCATAAATCACATTTTTGGAGTTGAAGTTCAAATTTTTATTTATTATGAATGTTTTTGTGAGGTTTTCAAAAGTGTAGGAGTTTCCTTCTATAATGATATCACAAGCCCCCACATCTTTTTTGTTGGATTTTGTGAACCCTTATATTGTGTCTTGGTTAAGTTTGGATGATGTTAATATATATATATATATATATATATATATATATATATATAATTATTTATTTAAAAATTATAACATAAACATGTTATAAAATCACTACAAAAATAGTCATTTTGTTTCAACACCTCCGATGTCTTATCAAGTGATGATGTTCAATGTTAAATAAATGGTTTTAAAAGTTTCAAATTAATTAACGATCCTTCGCAAGGGGAAAAACGCTGTTTATATATATATATATATATTAAGAAATGGACAAGGTCCGACAATTTATTTATTAAAGACATTTTTTTTTATGTTTAACGTTGTTATTTTTTTTTATAGATACAAGTATTTAAGCAAATGCTCTATTTATGATAAACAGTATTAAATAACATTTACCGGCCTGAATGTCCGAGAAATTTTCATAGAAAATATTCGTTCTTTGACAGGATTCGAACCTGCATCCTATACGGAACCGTCATATACGCTGACGTGCCTTACCTCTAGGCTACAAAGAACCGTTCGGTAGACAAGGTCGAATTTACTGCTTATAAACTCCAATCATGTCTTTAATAAATAAATTGTCGGACCTTGTCCATTTCTTAATATTGGGCCGGTAAATGTTATTTAATACTGTTTATCATAAACAGAGCATTTGCTTAAATACTTGTATCTATAAAAAAATAACAACGTTAAACATAAAAAAAAATGTCTTTAATAAATAAATTGTCGGACCATGTCCATTTCTTAATATATGACGTCATTTGTTTACATTTGATACGCCAGAGCAGTTATGAATGTACGAGATTCATGGAAGATTGGAGTTTATAAGCAGTAAATTCGACCTTGTCTACCGAACGGTTCTTTGTAGCCTAGAGGTAAGGCACGTCAGCGTATATGACGGTTCCGTATAGGATGCAGGTTCGAATCCTGTCAAAGAACGAATATTTTCTACGAAAATTTCTCGGACATTCAGGCCGGTAAATGTTATTTAATACTGTTTTGTCTTTACAAAGTAAAGACAAAACTAAAAATGAAAAAGAAAATGAAAATAATCAATAAAAGAAAAAGAAAAATGTGTAAGAAGAAACCGACTTTCCGCAAATACTTAATAGTCGTTTATCAAAACGACAGTGAGTGAGATTAAACAACTTTTCTGAGTGGCTATCACAAAATTAAAATAATGAGTGTTTATTTTGATAGTTGAATCCGTTTTAAGAAATTTTGATGCCGGGTCGGGGATATTTGTTAATAAAGAAGAAAATTATCGTCTAAATTGATATGAACAATCTTACACACGTATTTAGATAAATACTTGCCACATATGATTATCTAAAGAATCATCTACTATCATATCTTTGCAGAAAGAATGGGAAGGAAGCAACGATATGCTCGGCCAGTGATAGTTGGGTAACCATTATTAGAAATCCAGATGTTTAAAATTAAATTGAAGAATTAGCATTTTCCTCGTTTTGTTTATAAGTTAAGGATTTTCCCTGCCGATTCTATCGAAATAATATTTTATCCCGCATTGAATGTCGATGAGTGTGTGCGTTTTCTTTTTTTTTTTTTCGATAATTTACTACTTGATGACTGAGAGAGTAGTGTTTATCGCATCAATAACAGCGTTTTGCGTTCGACTCTAGGTAGATTTATAATTTGGAATGCAGATTTTCCAAGCAAGCAGGCTTTAGAAATTCCTATTTATCATATCCAAACCATTAGAATTGTCTTTTTGTTTGACTAAAGCTAAACTAATTTAAACTCGTTAAGTTAAGTCTCAGTTGCAAGATGACAGAATGTATGGATGTCAGCAGAAGAAAAACCCAAGATACAAACAACGAATTGAAGATATCAAGTCCGGAAGTTTAAACATCTGGGAAGTATTTTATGGAAAATGTGACACCGAAATCCGAACGTACGTTGGTATAGCGAAAGATGCCTTCCAAAAGCGAAGAAAAGTATTAAGAAACATGAAAATTTCGGCTTATCAACCCTTTCAAGATTATTTAAAGATATAAAATACATTTGGATTGTAAGATGTTTTCGAGATAATGATTTCGTGATACAAGTCCTATTATTTAACCAATAGCTGGGGGAAGAAGAGTTGGATTCATACCTTCCCCAAGGTTATTTTCACCTAAGTAAATATAATCATCCTAGCTGGAAATCGAACTCAGAACAGGCACTTATACTCAGAATAAAAAAAAAGAACAGTTGTAATTTATTTGGGCAGATAGCAAGGAATTTTGACATATCGAGGGAAAAACAAACAAAACAAAAAAACTAGGGCAAGTCAGCGGAAAAACTACCTGACGAGTCCGTGTGAATAGGGATAATGAAACGAGTGGGCGAGAGACTTGATTGGTTGATTTTATTTAGCGATATATCAACCTCTATAGGCTATTTAATGCAGAAATCTAAATATTTTAAACACTATTTTATGGCTTCAACTAAATATATTTTGAACACAGTTGTAAGCCTTCAACTACAGAAAAAACTTATTGTTGATCATTTTATTATAAAAATGTATTATTGGTCATTTTACAATGAAATTTATTGTTGGTAATTCTACTATGAATTTGTATTGTTGGTCATTTTGTTTTAAATTTGTATCGTTGGTAATTTTTTTTTAATATAAAATGCATCGCAAAATGGTAATTATTCTATAAAAATATCTATTTTTATACTTTCATGTTCTGTTTTTGCTTGGGGTTTACTATTTGCCCATATTTACTCCGAGGGCTGGATGGAGGAGAGAAGAAACGGTTCCTTGCCGCTGGGGTGAAGCGTACACGAAGGAAAGCAAACAACACGGCGACATCGGTTGGGGTGGGGGGATTTGTTGTGGGGTTAGAGCGTCTTCAAGTGCATTCGTTGCAAACGGGACTGTCACACCAGTGTGATCCTGTATAGCCATAAATGATACTTTGTCGCAATCACCAGCTGGGGTATAATTCGTTGGGAACAGATCCATGAGGTCTCTCGAGACCGACGGATGGCACATGCAAAAAGTCATTGACAGAAGAATGTGAAACCGTAGAACAATGGTAGGTGTGTTTCATATACATTATTAAACACAGTATATTCTTCCACTAAATCCCACGCCCGGTCGGCTTGGGCTGTAGAATACGCCGACTGCACCTCTGCAGAGGAGTAATACCCAAACCCCCAATAGATGTCCTGGGTATGACGATAAACTACATCCGCGTCATGAGTAAGACGATAAACTACGTCCAACAGCAAGACCTCTGATCAGGAAGGTTTGAGGAGCGTGGAACCACCTTTTAATTACGGATGTTCCTAGGTCCACCCTGACTTGGGGTGGTGTTAGGGTCCCAGTTATGGGCAAATATTTAACCCCCACACTCGGATCAAAACACTGTGAAGGTGTAAAAATGTGTATTAATACCAGAAATACTTTGTATAAAAAAAATTGTTACCAGCAATACGTTTTTGAGAAACGTATGTTGCCAGCAATGCATTTCTTGAAAAAGGGGAGTGTTACCAGCGAAGGAAAATTCTTACCAGAAATAGGTTTTTGAGGGAAAAAATATTATCAGAAATGGATTTTTGGAAAAGATATTACCAACAATGAGAATTTTCTCGGCATTAAATAACCTATTAAGGTTGATAAGCCGTAAAACAAAAGCAACCGGACCAACCACTCAATCCCAATTGTGGAAAGATGAATGAAGACAAAATTCGCTCTATTAGTCGAGCGTGTTGCGAGATTTACGTAGTCTGACCTTGCCTGGCGTACAGACAGGAACGTATCCGGTAATTGCTCGACAGTAAATTGCTCGAAATCAATCGCTCGAAAAATAATTTCTCGAACTATCAATTGCTCGAAAGGCAGTTTGCTCGAAACCTGTAGTTAAAAAAAATAAAACTAGATTGTTTCTAATATTTACTATAAGATAAAATAATACAACTTTATTGTTGTTAACTGAACAGTTAAAATTGAAGAACGAGTACATCTATATAGCAGGTCTTATTTTTTTTGCTCGAAACTTGTGGTTAAAAAAAATAAAACACG